TTATAGAGGGATAATTGAACAGAAAATGGAAACTACTGGAGTAGATTAGGGTTATATAGGGAAACTGGAAAAGAAAATGGAAACTGTTGTAATTGCCAAGAACAAACCACTTGCTTCAGATTCAAACGTCTGTTAGAGGGCTCTTTTAGGGTTAGGAGTCTAATTAAGGAGTTCTGACTGGAATTTGGCGGCTTCCAAGAGTTATGTCATACACACTGCCATGATATCCTGTGCCCTTAAGCAAGTTTTTGCAAGATTGGGTACAATCTGGTGCCCTTGTGACACACCCCTGTGATGGAAAGAACATCCTTGCGAAGAGGGGCACCTCGCAAAGGGCTCCACAATTCTGATGCACAACATCTACACGATCCCAGGCTTGGTTTTTTTTTATATAGTTCTTTGATTTTACTTATGGGACTATAGTCACCAAATCCCCCAACCCTAACCCCCAAACTATCGTCACCTTACGCACGAAACTTTTCTGGGCCACGGGCTCTGAATTTCAAGGTCAACGGACACCTGTTGGGCTGCGGATGCAAATCTACACTCGCTCAAACTAACATGGGGGTTTCCCAACATTAGGTGTACCTTCTTGGGGTCCCTATAATAAGGAATATAGTATTTTGGGGTGTTTTATAGGGTCCCCTTATTTTGGGAAACTACCACATGGAAATCTATGTAGTCCCCTTTCAGAAGGCCTTTTGGGGTTTTCATGTTACTTTCCGGGAGTGTAGAAATACTTGGAGCCACAAGTACCGGAAATCAGGTTAGAACTATCACAATCCTAAATACAACCCTCTATAGATACTTTGGGGTTACAAGTACCGGGAAATGTAGGTCAGAACTATTGTTATCCTAAATATATACCCGCGAAAGACTAGCGAAGAACCTGCAAGCAGGGTTGCCTCTCAGGCATGGAATGTGGGCACGGATCAAGCTTTTTTAAATTCGTGCACGACTTGTACGTGGTTAAGGAAATTCTAGAAGAGTTTGGGGTCTCGGCCCAGGCTGTGTTATGTATGCGTTCCCTCCTGTTGGGTTCCCCCAGTTTACAATCTACGCTACAGATGAAGCCAACAAAGTGCAGCCAGGAAGAGTTTGGACAATAGCCTGCTCAGCTGGGAGTACTATATTATATAGGGTATATATTGGGGTTATATAGGGATAACGGAAAAGAAAATGGAAACTACTATAGTAGCTTGGGGTTATCTTGGGATAGTGGAAAAGAAAATGGAAACTACTATGATGGATTATATAGGGTATATATTGGGATTATATAATGATAATGGACAATGGAAAAAAACGGAAACTACTGTATTATATAGGCGTTATATTAGGGTGCTTAGCTTGTCATCCACCATCAATCCCAGTCTTCCCGGCCATATACTCCTTTTATGAGCCTATAGAACCTCCTATATAACCCTGTATGATCCCCCATACAACCCTTAAGTAGCCCTATGAATAATCTCTATATACCTAGTCTTCCAATCTTGGCTTCGGGACTGTGGGTTTTCAGCTTGGGAGGGTAGATCTCAACCGCGGCAGCGAACTTTAGAAAAATGTTGCCCCATTGATAACAATAAATATATCACTAGTAGTAAGAATAATGGTAGTCATAATTTTGGTAGGGTTTAGGGTTTAGAGTTTAGGGTTTAGGGTCTAGGGTGGTAGTAGTACCAATGGCCATAATATTAAAAACAATAGCAACAGTACCATAAACTAGGAGCCTGCATCCTGGCATTTCTGCCGGTCGTAGGTTCATTACACGAAAAAAATCAACCCGACCAACAAATGCCCACGTTCCCCGTAAACTTATAACCCCCTAAGCCCGAAGCTCTAGACCCTAAAATTCAGGGTTTAGGGTTTAGGGGCCCTAAACCATCAACCCCAAGCCCTACATTTATAACCAACCCCTAGAGCGGCGGTCCTGGAAGAGTAAGGAGCCCAGAAGAACAAGCGGCGCTGCAACTGACACAGCCAGATGGTAGTTTCCCAAAATGGGGGAACCCCAACATACATCCCAAAATAATATACTCCTGTTTATTGGGACCCCCAAAGTAACACCTCCAATTTTGGGAAACGCCCATATTTGGAGAGCCGGGCTGGGAGGTTCGGGTTCAAGGTTTGGGGCTTGGAGTTCCGGGATAGGGAATGGGCGGGTTGACGGTCTACAGCTCATGGTTTCAGGGAATAGCGTGCAATGTCCAAATATGGGGAGCCTCACCCTCCTTGGTGAAGTCCACACTCCTGGAATACGAACATGAAGGGTAAGTCTAACCTGCCGCACCTCGCTTCGCACCTGATATGCGAATCTCAGAAGAGGAAAGCCATAGGGACCGTAGGTATATGTGGGGCTGATAAAAGGATTCTGGGGCACTGTATTTGACGATGAAGGTTTCTTTCATGATTATAAGCCTCTGATGGTCCTGGATGAAAGGCTTAGGAACCCTTAACCCTAAACGGCGCGGTTGTCAATGGAACCCCAAGATCCTCAAAGGCACTTACTAGGAGGCCCATGGGACTTAGTAACTACTTATAACTGGGATTAGAACCCTACTTATAATCACGGTAACCCCTGATGAGCCCATGTAGGGGGATTATAAGTAAGGTTATAAGCCCAGTTATAAGTAGTTCCTAAGTCCCACGGGCCCCCAATTAAAATTCATGGCACCCTGCATAATGAGCCAGACTGAGAAGGCCCGGCATTAGGAGCCCAAAACACATGCCCCTGGGCACTCCTCAGCCATCTGGTGGTTTCCCAAAATGAGGGGACCCCAATATGGACCCCAAAGTATTATAAACCTTAGGACCCCCAACAATGGTACCCCTAATTCTGGGAAACCCCGTATCTTACCTCGGATCTGCTTTTGAAAGTGGCATGAAAGAAGATAATGCCGTCAAAACGATCTCAGAAAAAGCGGCTTCAGACATAGTAGTTTCAATTTCTTGTCCATTATCCCAGTATAACCCCTATAATATACCCTACTATAATGTACTAGTTTTCATTTTCTTTTCCATTATCACCAGACAATCACCCCAAAAACGGGCCAGAATGTTGAGTAAGCTCTGTCTGGAAAGCTGTGCAATGCAGGAGGAGCCTACCACAAAGAGAGTGCGGGCCACAATGCTGCATTCTGCCGCAACCATAAGCTGTACAAGGTGCGAAGCTCTAACTTCTATCCCAGCCGTATTGTGAGAAAAGGCTCTGTGCTTTGCGGGCCCCAAATCAACAGCTCCTTACTGAAAGAACATGGGGCAGGTCTGCGAGATTTGACCCTCCTTACTAGAAGAACCCACCTAAGAGTCCTTTCTTGGACGCGCGGGTTACAGAAATCATGCCCGCTTCGGGTTCAAAGGCCAAAAACTCTCAATTCTGAAGTTTGATGTATGGCTTCTGCTAATAGACCTAGACCTAGTCTTCCAGGTCTATTCACTCAAGAGCCTGCTAAGGCTGAGGATGCCAGGGTCACTCTTTGAAGCTGGGTGGGCATATCAACAGGACGTATTCATAGGTGACTGTAGGATACTACCTGGGTATTGCTTGGGTCTTTGTCCTACCTAGCTCTGAAGTCTCATCCAGACTCAGCATAACGGCTGCGGGCAGACTGACGGCATGTCGTACTTGAAGGCTTATGGATAGCTATGGATAGTGATATGAGCTATAGTCTACATGCTTCCCAATATCTTCCCCTATATAACACCCCATTTAAGGATTTTAGACTAAAACTCATATTATGAGGTAGAAGTCCCCTATATTAGGGGGCAACTCTTGTTATCCCAACTTGAACCCCCTCTCTGGCTCTTGCTATTCTCTGTTTTGGGAATTCTATACATTTCTCTTTTGGGAAGATCTTTATGCTTCCGTCCGTACGCAATTGCCAATGTTGGCTTTACCGCTGGGAAACGCCCTCTGGACGCAACTTTCGCAGCCCTAACGCGGTCTTTCGAAGCCCAGAAGCAAGCAAAACCCACAAAAGAGTCTGGACAACTCCCGGTGTGTTGGGCTCATTCTATTGTATTGCTGTAATGATCTTTCCCCGTGCTTTCCCAGACATGTGGCAACCACAGAAACACCATCTTGCTGATCACCTCTTTCTGCGTGCGACTATAAACTCCCAACAAGGACCTTTGTCTTGGACATCTATCAAACCTAACATGAAGGTTCCCCAAAATTAGCGGTACCATTTTGGGGTCCAATAAGAACTATGGTATTTGGGGTCTATATTGGGGTTCCCTTATTCAGGGAAACTACCACAGTGAATATACGTTCTGGGGAACTACTGTGTTTGTCTACTGACTGCTGCCAGTTCCCTTTCATCAGATACCGTTCCTGACTAGTGACTAGCCCTTTCCTGCGCATCTCTTTGCAATAAGCCCTTGGTGGGGTCCCTGAATGCTGAAGTCATGGGGCCTGCCATGGAGCCTGAAAATTACTCTTAGCTGCTCATTGGGGGACTATAGTAAGCAAAAAGCGGAAAATCAATTCAGGACACGCTTGGAGATGGGAATGACTGTATGCAATGGCAATAGCAATGAGAATAGTAATACTCATAATAATGATCGTGGTGGTAATCATAAAAGTGGTAACAATGGTAAAAAGCAACAATAGTAGCCCTAGTAGTCATAACGGTAATATAAAAAGGGTAATCATCTTAGGAATGGTAGTATTAGCCCAGCAGATTCGTAAGGCTGGCGGATTCTTTGTGCGGCTGCGCGGACATCTGGGCTCGGAGTAGGCAACAAAGGGGTGTTAAGGTGTAAGGTGTAGGGTGTAGGGTTTTGAGTGTAGGGTTTAGGGCGTAGGCTTACTTGGAGATTTCCCCAGAGAGCCCAATAGACCTTAATTGAGGAACATACCCTAAATGATGCTTCGATCCTGAACATGATTAAATGTATATTTCTTATTTCAAGGGTATTGGGCTCCCTGGATAATTGGGGCTTCGTAAGTATACAGTATTTGTACCCCCCATAAGGCCAACGCTTGAGCCCTAAGCAGCTGCTCAACCACTGGGCTGAGCAGAGCAAAGAAAGTCGCCATGTCGCTCGTGGTTGCCGCGGTGCACAGACCAGGGGCACCTGATATCAGGGTTTGGGATTCAAAGTTTAATCCGAAGTCTTCATGAAGAGGCTTGGCTTTCTGGGTAGAACTAGGCTTACACTTCTGCCTCTAAAAGCAAGAAGCTTACAAGAAGGGCAACATAGGCTGCCACTTCTCCCGCCATGAAAGCACGCATGCGATTGTTGCTAGTTGCTTGTCCTCTCTGTTCTATCTTTTCTGCTTTGTCAAGGTAAGCTCCTCACGACTTTGCAGATGTTGAGGTTGCATAATGTACGGCCTGAAGCACTACCTATATAACTTTGAAGCACCCTAGATTATACTTCGGAATCTAAGACGATCATATTCGTAATTGTTTAGGCCTCTACAGTACTAAACTCAAAGAACGACTACGTACGAAGTCTGCCTCCCAAATCTTAAGGTCTAACCTAGGAATCCTATGCAAAATGCCCTAAGCTGAGGAACAGCCACAACTGAAGCCCGTACTTTAGACACCAAACCTGAACCCTGTAGCCCAAATGGTATTCCTTCGCATCCAATACATACTGTTCATAAAGGAAATCTTGAACCAGAAAACCCTGAACCCTAGTCTTCCAGCGGCAGCACCAGAGAAACCACTCCGGCATGCTGGCTTCGGCTGGGGTCTGCCCCAGACGGTAGCAATTCACCTGAGCCATTTGGTAATGTCTTGAGAAAGGGCCCTGGGTGACCTGCGAGGGTTTAGGGTTTAGGGTGTTCTAAGAAACCTTTAGGGATATCTTTGAAGAATTGTGTCGGTTGTGTAGGGAACATGCTGAAAAACAAGCTGGCGAAGTCCTTAACATAGAAGAAAATCTGGGGACTGCGCGGGTGGGTTTTGAAAGTCTCCAGGTTTTTGTCGGAAATAAAAAACGGCTTTACTCCTTCCTACCAAACTCAGACCCAAGATTTTCAACCTTTCGAAGAACTAGAGGTCCACTACGCCGCGGCGCTCAGCATGCTAATATCTTGGGATACCACTCTAATTGGAGGCCCATGGAACTTAATGACTACTTATAATTGGGCTGATAACCCTACTTATAATCCCCCTAAATGGGCTTATAGGGGTTACCCCAATTACAAGTAGGGTTCTAAGCTCAGCTATAAGTAGTGACTAAGTGCCAAAGTAACCCCAAGTCTGGAAAGTGCGACACTGTAGCTCAAAGAGCCCGCAAGGCCGCGGCACAAGCTACACCCCAAGAAATAAACCCTAAAGCCTACCCCATAAACCCCCAGACCCTAAACCCTTACACCCAAAACCCTAAACTGTAAGCCTTAAATCTGAAGGTCCGAGCCCCAAGGCCCAAGCACTGATCCCTGGGCTTTGGGGTTTAGGGGTCTAAGGGTTTAAGGGTTTAGGGGTTTAGGGGTCTAGGGGTCTAGGGGTTTAAGGGTTTAAGGGTTGTGTTTTTAGTCTAGAGCTGCAGGGACCCAAACCATTTCTGCAGAACAGGGGCTCGAGGCAGCCAGTCGTACGGATTGGTGGGCTTCCTGGGCTGCTGTTAAGGAACTTGAATTAAGGGTTTAGGGTTTAAGGTTTGTGGTTTAGGGCTTCAGCTACCATAGGCCATAGGGGCTATATATACATATATAATTGTAGAAATATTGTGCATAATAGGTTTCCCCAATATAATAACTCAAATTAAGCTCCTCAACAACAAGCCAGTTTCAGGGGTGCGGCGCTTTGAAGCTCGTCCTGAGCTGACGAGGTGCAGCAGGTAGGGGTTGCTGGACCCCCGAAGTACCAATTGGGGTAATGGTTATAATGGGGTTATATTAGGGTTATATTGGGGTTATATTGGGGTTGTATTGCAATTATATTGGGTTCATATTGGGGGTGTTGGTTGTATTGGGATAATGAAAATAAAATGGAAACTACTATTTAGGGCTTAGGGTTTAGGATATATCTAGGCTTTGGGGCTATTCAGGATTTAAGGCTTTAAGGCCAGGGTTCGGGTTCTCCGGAGGCCCACAATTCCTGCAAGTATTCTTGATGTTGGAATGTTCTTGCCCCCTAAACCCTAAACCCTAGACCCTACACCCTAAACCCTAAACCCTAGACCCTAAACCCTAGACCCTAAACCCTAAACCCACCGGCAACTTCATACTCAGACGACTTCATACTCAGACAAATGGCTTTTGAGGGTTTGGTCTGCCTGTCACAAAAAAAAAAGTGTTAGGGTCTAGGGGTTTAGGGTGTAACGTTTAAGGTTTAAGGTTTAGGGTTTAAGGTATGGGGCTTAAGGTCCATGAACTTCAGAAACTTCAGCCCAAAACAAGCGCCCCTCTTAGAAACCAACCCCGATATAACAAGGAGCCCCTATGACTGAATCCTGGAGCCCTAAACCTTGAACCCTGAACACCAACACCATGAACCCCAGGGCCAAAATCCTGAACCCTAAATCCTCAAAACCTGAACCCTGCACTGGGCCAAAGCTGGAAAGAATTCCTATGTTGCAGGATACCAGAACCCAATATGACCTGTAGCTTACCTTTGGCTGACTAGGAATGAAAAATGGATCCTTGTAGCAATCCCAATATATCCCATTATAGCGATTCCCATGTTCTTTTCCATTCTTTCATTCCCAGATAACCAAAGGTATAAAGTCGTCCTGCAATAAAGAGCCAGTGCAGTCCGCAACGCCTAGATGCAGCTCGAGAGGCGAGATGCCCTGTGATGTAACCCAACGATTTCTCCTCGAAGTCCGGAGGTTCAGAATTTCAAGTTTGCGGCCTAAACCCTGAACCCTAAACCCTACACCCTAAACCCTAAACCCTAAACCCTACACCCTAAACCCTAAAATTTCAAGTTTGCGGCCTAAACCCTGAACCCTAAACCCTACACCCTAAACCCTAAACCCTAAACCCTACACCCTAAACCCTAAATCCTACACTAAACCCTAAAGTTTTGGTTTCTTGGGGTTTAGGGTTCACGCTTTAGCCATGGAGGCATGAATGGCTTAGCCATCCACCGTATGTCAGTACCGGAGCCCCCCGAAACCCTCAGCCGAAACGTTAAGCCCTATACCTGGGAAGCCCTAGTGGAGCCCCAGTTATAGGGAACTACCATATAATATATTGGGGTTATACAGGGATAATGGAAAACAAAATGGAAAGATCACCCCACGCTACAAATGTCGACGTCGATTGTCTTCTTGCGTTCCCCGCTAACCCTTATACCCTAGTGGTTCCCAAGGGTCACCCTACAACCTAAATAGTAGTCTCCATCTTCTTGTCCGTTCTCCCTATATAAACCCGGCACATCCCCTATCATACTGTAGTAGCTTCCATTGTCTTTTCCATTCTCCCTATAATACACCGAGACCCCAGACTGGATAATATCCCTACATAACCCCTAGAAAACCCCTACATCCCCCTTCATTTTCCCATGTCATTCCCAAATTCTTTTCCAGCTGTTTCTCCACTATTGGGGCAATGGATACCCTAAACCCTAAACCCTGACTGAACCCTAAACCCTAAACCCTAAACCCTAAACCTAAACCCCGTGTAAAGCCCAAGGATCTGCGTTGTCAAGCCGCATGCCGGCCATCTTGGCCTGCATCTCAGCGGTCTTTAACTCCTTGCCAGCAAGTGAAATGGGCTTGGGGTCTAGTGTTGAAAATAAAGTCAATATTGCGATTATATTGGGGCTGTATTGGAATAATTATGGGGAATAAAGTCAATATTTGGATCATATTGGGGTTGTATGGGGTTGTATTGGAGTAATTATGAAAAACAAACTGGAAAGTACTATTGGGGGTTTAGGGGCTTAGGGTTTTAGGGTTTAGAGCTTAGGGTTTGAGGGTTTAGGGGCTTAGCGCTTAGAATTTATAGCAAAGGTTGCATTGTAAGAGCAGTAGCACCGGCAAGAATGGCAGCACCACGAAGTCCAGACAAAGGAAGTAGGAGCCAACCCAGAAGATCATCAGCTAATTCTGCGCATTGCTTTCTTTGCCATTCTCAATCTAGCCCCTTAATGCACTCCCATATCATATACCCCCATATATCAACTATAATGCTATAGTAGGCATTTATGATAGTAGTTTCCATTCCCCAATAGACAACGCACCCCACCCCTTTTCCATTGACTCTTTTTAAAATAGACGTGGAACAATGGGAACATTTACTGCTCCGGCGTAACAATTTCAAGGTTCACTTCTTTCTCCAGGAACTTTAAAGCAAGTTCCCAGAAGAAGCAGATCATGCTATTTTCCTTGTGTCCGCATTATGGTAGCTCAATTTAGTTCCTGAACAGCAGCCCAGAACACAAGAATCGCTGGGGGCAGTGCTGACGGCAGACGAAACAGGAACTGCTGCTGCTTCATCAAATCCTGCCTTGCTTCCTTAGTCCAAGGCCGGTCTCATTTTTGGTTGAAAGTCTTAGGATTAGGGTGGTTGAAGGCTACATCCCGCAACGTCGTACCCTGTACTAAAGCCTAGATTCTAAATATTCAGACTGCAGGAGGTCTCATTCTAAGATGCCTTTTTGGGGAAGTTTCCGGCAGGGGCAGATTCCCTCAGTTGCTAGTCCACTCTAGCTTCTTCAGAGTTTGGGGATGAGGTTTAGGGGGATCAGGGTTAAGGTCTGAGGATTCTAGGCATCAAATGTGGCATGCAGATGGATTAGTGTTAGGGGTTGGGGGGCTGACCAATACCGATATATACCCTTATATGCATATTCAAGCCCTATAAAACCAAATACGGGCCCATAGTTACCCTAAACCCTAAACCCTAAACCCTAATGAGCCAGGAAAGAGGTTGGGGTCCATGGTTAGGACCGTGGAGTTTAGAGGAAGAAGGCATCTGGGCCTAGGATCTGAGACTTGGGGTTTAAGGTTTAGGATTTAAGGATATAGGGTTAAGGATTTCAGGGAGGTTCAGGGTTTAGAGCCTAGGACTCTTGGATTCATTCGAAGTTTTCCGGCTTCGCGCACCTAGCCTGGGGACCATTGACAGGGCTATGTTTCTTTCCAGTGCGCTTATGCCTGCTCTAGACTCTACTTAAATTAACTAAACGTGTCAGCAACGTTGCTCTCACGGTTATGGCTCATGCGTTGTTGAAAAACTCTGGGTGGTTGAGCCAAAAAAGATCATGCTCTTCTTCTGCGATACTATGCCCAAAAGGAGATCTTACTCAATATTATCTTACTGGGGGGGTTAGTAGGTAATACGGGAATATGTTATATAGGGACTATATAGGGAATCCCTCGCTAACCAGATAGTATCCGTACTGTCTTTACCCACTATACAGTTCCTTATATAACCCCCTTTAAGGATTTTGGACCCTAAACCCTAAACCTTACATAATCACCTTTAAAGAGCTTAGTCCGAAACCCTGAACCTTACATAACCACTTTAAGGAGCTTAGACCCGAAACCCTGAACCTTCCAGAATCCCCTTTAAGACGTTGAGACTATAGCTCAGGCAAGCGCAGCCAGGACTCCATGATGCTGACCTGCTCCAGCTCGCGCTTGTGCCAGTAATCGTCCAGCATGTCCTGGGTTGCTGTTAAGGAAAGGAACCTAAATGAAGTTACTAGAATGTAGGGTTTTGGGCTTAAGGTGTAGGGTTATCATAGTAAGGAAAATCTGTTATTTACTATATACCCCTGCTATAGTAACTTAAATTCAGCTACTACAAGGAAACTCTATGAGTTACTATATACCCATATAGTATGGTAACTTAAACTAAGTTCCTGAACAGCAACCCAGTGTCTTGGTATTTTGCTGCGTTCCTTTGGTCATTCGTTGCCTGGCGCAATGCACAAACAGACAGCAGGATGGAAGATGGACTGCTGCGAGGAAGGCGAAACGGAAAATAACATGGGAACTACTACGCAGATTCTTTGGGGTGTAGGGTTTAGGGATGATGGAGAATGAAACAGAAAATGAGATGGAAAACAATGCTGTATTCTTGCATCATCTTTTAGCATTCAAGGCTTGCTGGCTATCATACCCCCGGCTCTGGTTGCAGGCATATAATATGTTAGTATAATAGTTTCAATACAAGAAAACTGGCGGTAGGAATACTACTGATGATAATGTAAAAGTGCTGCCATGTATACAGCTTGAGCATTCTTGTCTCCAAGCAGGAATGAAAACCAAAAGTCTGGGTGGAATGGCCACGATAAGCCCTACGAAAAAAATCTGGTTCTCAGGCGGACCCCGAACAGCGAACCCCCCCAAAATGAAGTAGGAAACTATGGGGATAGATGGGCCCTGGCAAGTAAATCCCTGTTCTATTCCTACCACATTCTTGGGGCTCCCGTTTGTGGCCCTCATTGGACTCTTTGGCAAAGCCCCTTGCGCGTACTCCACACAGACTGACGTGACCGGCGCTCAAGCATCATGGGTGCCACAAACCCAGCGATCCCAACACCTCAAGCTTCAGGTGGGATGTAGGGATGTACTTTAGGGCTTACTTAAGGAGATTTAGGGAGATTTAGGGGCATAGAGGGATAGACGATAGGATTCCTCTAAGAAATCAGACTGTAAGCCCGCGCCAAGGCACTGTCACCATCTCAGCGTAATCTTCGTCTGCCCCCCAACATGATTTGCATGTCCTGAACAACACAACCCTAATCTCGTGAATCCTCCAAGCCCTCACCCCACTCAGCCTCAAACCTCGAACAGAGAATCCCACAACCTCCAACAACCTAAACCAAACAAGCTACAAACTACTGCTGCTACTACTACTACTTCTTCTTCTACTACTACCACCACCACCATCACCAGAAATAAGAGTAAAACATAAGCCTTCGCTGCACTCAGTTTCATCTGAAGGCCAGAATACGTGTTCATGGCGAAATCCGACTCCCTCTGCCTTGGCGCAACTGTACGTAGGGGTACTATAGAAGTTTAGGGCTTACAGGTGTTTAGGGTTTATAGGGTCTTAAGGCTTTCGAGGATGCATGGGGTTTATAGGGTTCAGGGTTGGACTAGGGTTTAGGTTTCAGGTGTGCAGGGTTCAGGGTAAGCAAGATAGAAACGCAAAGCGGTCAAAAGAGCCGGAGTCTTCATGCACCCCCTTTCATGTTAGGCTCAGACAGCGCTTTTTTCACCAGTGGTGGAGCTGTGCCTTGAGACGGAAGATTGTTCGAATTACTTGGTTGAGGGTTTAGGGCTTCGGCCTTGGGAAGGTCGTAAGTGGGGCTGTGAGTCCCCTGCATTCGGACAGAATGTTCCTGCATTCAACCTCAATTAGCACCACCCATCCCATGAGCCTTCAAGCAGGGGCTGAAATTCTGAACCCCACATATTGATCCTGAACATTGAGCAAACATGGGGGACTTGTTCATGTTGCCCCTCTTTCAGCCTCTGTATACGCTGAAGATCCTCACGAGTAGGGACCTCATGGGTGATTGAAGGTTTCGGCATTGGAGATCATGTCCTACTCTATCCTGTTACACACCGTGAAAAAAATCCTCTCATGCTGGCAACTAGAGAACTTTGGTTGACAGGGGCCCATAGTTGTGACCCTGAAGGTACCTCAGTATAGCAGGCCTTAGTGACCGGGTGTTAGGATTAATGGCTTGAGCTTCGGGCTTTAGGGTGCGCGGCTTAGAGTTCGGGTCCGGATTTTAGGGTTTTGGGTTGCGGATTTAGGGTCCAGGGTTTGGGGTTCAGAAATGATGTTGCGAAACGCTAATGATGAAATTGAATCCGGTGGCTGAGGCCTATACTCCAAGTGGCACGCCCTACATGGCGAATTCCTCAAACCCAGGGTCCTATCCTTGAACTGAAATCCATCAATCCTACCGCATACCGCATATGGGTAGTTTCCAGAAATTTGTGGCCAGGCTTCCTGTGCAGTCCCTGAATTCGAGATTCCCTCCCTTTCAGAGTAACCCATGCCTCTCCCTCTGAAACCCTACACCCCAATCCAAATCCATAAGCCCTGATTCTCTAAACCCTACACCCCAAACCGTAATCCCAAAGTCCGCAACCCTAAACCCTAATCCAAAATCCAAATCCCAAAATCCTTAGCCCCAAAAAGTAGTTTCCATTTTCTTTTCAATTATGCTTATGAAAACCCTATAACATCCTATAACACCCTAAACCTGAATTGTTTGAGACTCTCCCAGTTGCCGGAGGTCGTTCCTTTGATCAGTGAGGCGCTGCCTGGCACTGCACAGCGCAGGACTTGTACCCAACTGGGATAATAGGACTGAGGGTCTAGGGTTTAGGGATTAGGGTTTAGAGTATGTACCCGATGGGATAATATTAGGGTATATATTGGGGTTGTATGAGGATAATCGAGAAGAAAATGAAAACTACTACTCAGGGTTTAGGGTTTAGGCTCTAGGTTGGGATAATACTGGGGCTATATTGGGATCATAGTGGGATTGTAGTGGGATTATAGTGGGATAATGGAAAGGAAAATTGAAACGACTATCATGGGCTATATAGGGTATTTACTGGGGTTATATCGGGGTAAGAAGTAAGAACGACTATGTTGGGCTTCTCTTAAGCAGGGCCTCAGGTTTGTCATTCCAGGGAGTTTAGCATAGGGTTCATTTAGGGATACGATAGGCACAAGGAAAAAGAGAACAGTCAGAACAGTGTCACTAACAGTCCTTACATAGGTCTCTACTAAATGCATAAGCAAACAAAGACAAAGAGTATTGACGTCCAGGGCTTAGGGATTCAAAGAACTATCAGTTTCCGAATTCGGGCATGATGTTTGAGTAAGCCCTACTTGGAGGGTCACGGGGACTTAGTAAGTAGGTTTATAACCCCTATAACCCGTATAGCAGTCCTCACTATCCCCATCATTGACCTACTTACCAAGTGCCCCTGACCCTCCAAGTAAACCCTAAACCATAAGCTGGTAAGCCTGAGAGGGCGGAGTGCAGTGGGGTAGGTAATCACCTTTCCCTGGCATCAAAGCTCCCACCCACCTCCCTAGTATGAAATATTTCATTGTGGCATACTATGCTACATTGGGAATAGTCAATATCAGGGAGGTGGGGTCCTAAACCCTAAACCCTAAAACCTAAACCTGCGGGGGAAGGGGATGATGAACCTATGCACTGTCAGACTGCGTGCAAAGGACCTTCGCATAAACTCTGTTCATACCGGGGATAGAAGTTATATAGTGTTTATATAGCGTTTAGCGTTTAGGGTTAAACCCTGTTCATACCGGGGCTAGAGGAAAGCTTGCACCAAATCCACCTAGGGTCTCCAAAGTCCCATAATTCCCGGCTTGGGGTTTAGGGTGATTTAAGGCACTCAGGATTCGAGCCCTGTAATTCCCAAAGCTTGAAGGACTCAGCGTAGTGCAGCGCTTTCTCCATTAAAAGTGCGTGCAGCGTAGTAGAAGCAACAACCACCAATCGAGTCAGCCGCCACACTTGCCGTCAAGCAACAGCCACCGACAAAATCCTCGATCACTAAGCCCAAAACCCTGTTCACACATTTTGTCGATCTAACCCCCTATACCTTAAACCTCTTGCATGGGGCCTGAATTCATTTTTCGCTGGTCTAGCCTCTACACTTTGAACCTTCTACATGAAGCTATACTCTAAACTCCTAGTATCCCCCTTATTATCCCCTATAGTAGTCCCCTATATAATCCCCTATAAAACCCTTTTAAGGAGTTTAGACCATAGCTCACATGAAGCCTGAACTCATCTTTGTTGATGGACTCGAGCTCAGACAGTTTGGCTTCAGCAGCTTCCTTTGACGCCATGGCATCGGCAATGCGTCGACGGGCTCCTGGGTTCAGGAGCTATAAAACCCGATATAGCCCTATATTATCCCCTATATAACCCTATATTATCCGTTCTATAAGCCAGCTTTAGTGAGGCTTCAGTAGGGCGCTACAAACGGGATCTAGGGTTGAGGGCTTAGGGGTTATCACTCCAATAGTGGAAAATCAAATGGAAAGTGAAATGGAACCTATGTACGTACACAAGGACTGCAGGGAATTATTCAGGCTTCCACAGTACTCCTTGCCACTTAGCTTCTTTCATATGCGACCTTTCGGAAGTTCTGAGAAAACTGAGAATTTGGGCTTTCCGGTTACAGGGGGGGGGGATACATAAGGGATAATGTAGGGTTATATAGGGTTATACAGGTCATATGAGGTTATATAGGGTATAGTGTTCAGGGCTTAAGGCCAAGATGGGATTGGAGAGCTCTGGGCCTCAGAATCCAGAATACTGATGATGGAAAAAATCTTGCACCATGGAAAAAATGGAAGCACAGTGATTTCGGGACCACGCAGGTGGCATAAGATTTCCTTCATCAAGCTTATCTGGTTCGAGGGATAGAGACAGGAAGTCCCAGTCTGGGCCCACCTCTACAAAGGCCCGGAAGCTCCCTAAACACTAAATGGACACTACTATACTATAATACGGTTTAGGGTTTAGGGATAGTAGGGTTATATTGGGATAATAATGGAAAAGAAAATGGAAATCAATATAGCATATTGGGGGTATATACCCTTTATAAACTCCACATGGCTGGTCTATCATGCTTCCTGCTCTTGGAGCAATTCTTTTTGAGATTGTAGTTTCCATTTCTTGTCCATTATCCCCTATACTATATAGGGTATATAACCCCAATATACTATGGTAATTTCCATTTTCTTTTCCATTCTCCTAACATTATCCCAATATAACCCCTAAACCCTAAACCCTATCATAATATGCTAGTTTCCATTTACTTGTTTTTCATTATGCCACACCCATCTGACCTAGCTGCAAAAGACCAATGTTCAGTGGCTCTTTCAGGTAAAGGAACATTGCC